GTGTGTGGACCTTTTATCTCACTGGTTCTTCTGTGACTAAGAGAACCCTTAGAAGTATTTGAGTGAATGACTGTTTGCCAAACTGATTATCACGTGATGTTTGTAACTTTTCCCCTGTGTGTACACAGTTATCCCTTTGTATCCACAGAGGATTGGTTCCAGGGCCCTCCACAAATATCAAAACCTATAGATGCTCAAGTCCCTTATATAAAATGGAGTAGTGTTTGCATATAAGGTGCACATATCCTCCTATATACTTTAAGTCATCCCTAAATTACCTATAATACCCAATGCAATGCTATGTAAATCATTGTCAGCATATGACAAATTCAAGTGTTACTTTCCAGGAAGTGTTACTTCCTGAAAAAAAAATTTTTTTTAAATGTTTTTGATCTGCTGTTGGTTGAACCTGTGGTTGTGGAATCTGTGTATATGAAGGGCTGACTATATACATATATACTCATTCTGTGTATGTTAAATAAATAAATGATCATTACTAATTGTGATGTATGTATACTATGTATATGTGTATTAATACATATATACATTTTTGAATCTATTAACCTGTATCGGTAACAGTGATCCTTCAGTGTTTCTTAGTAGCTTTTTGATAGTAAAAAGCAATAACTTATGGGCACTTAGATCTTTGTCAAGATTTTATGGTAAATTTAAAATCTTTAGGCCTATCTTCAAAAATTTTATACTTTCAAAATTATTGTTTAAAATCATAGCTGAAGGAATAGAGCAAGAATATATTACAGAAAAAAAAACTGGTAAAATTTGCCAATATACTGCGTTGTGAAGGAACCTCCAAAAAATTCAGAATCAAAAAGATAACCTTCTTGGTTAGTGAGTATATAAAATGTTTCAGTTAACTAATTTTTATCATTTAGTATTGATAAAGTATATTATCTATGTGTAATCATTTGGAATTCACTGAATTATAAAAAGCTTTCTTAGACAGGTAATACATGGAATAAAAGTCACAAGGACTATTGATGTGACTATTCACTAAAGACAGTGACAAATCAGTTATTCTCCATCACTACATAAGGAAGAAATGGGTTTTTTTGTTGTTGCTGTTTTAGA